TGGCCAAACCCTTGCCAATAACAGTATTTTGGTTCTCAGTTCTCACTCTTCCCTCTGGTTGAGGAGCCTTTGAATAAAAATGCACATAGCTATGGAGCGGGGTTTTGCTGGGAAAGGTGACCTTCCAACTTCATGTCAACTTCTGGCTCCTCAAACTATAGGTTGGCAGTAAGGTAGGGAAGTTGATTTCCCATTTCTCACTGAGCAGATTGTGAATATTTCTATATGGATTTTCTATTGTTGATGTTACTCTGATTCTTTGTTTTAAAGTAACAATTCTAAATGTACACAAAAAAAAAACAAAAAAAGAAAGTAAAGCACCAACTGAGTCTGTTCAAGACTGAGAGAGAAGACTTTTCATTACATAATTTTTCAGTTCTTTTTTTTTACCATGTGCATTTGTTTTCTATTCAAACTATATATAAATTACAATTTTTAAATAAATAATAATACATGTTTCTTAAATATAAACAGTCTGACACAAAAATTTCATTTCTAGGCATAGGTATACTCAAGAGAAGCACTTGAAAGTATGCACAATAAAACATATAGAAGGATGTTCATGGCAGCATTGTTAATAATAAAAAATAGGAAATATTTAACAATCTAAAAAATATGGACTATTCATTTAAAGAAATACTACACAACAGTTAAAAAGCATGAGGTACCTCTATATGTACTATTTTAGAATGACACGATATTTGTTGAATAAAAGAACCATGCTGTAAATTAATATGCATAATGTGATCTTTTTTAATGTAAAATGAATAAACTATAAATGTTCCAGGTCAACACACAACACAGAATGCAATGCACACCACAATGAAAATCATAATAGTTTACCTCCTAGAAAGAAATGATCAATGGATGTATTTAGACTTATAGAGACTGGTTTTTTTAACTCAGATAATATAATGATGCATTACTTACATGAAAAAAAAATAATTAAAAGAAAATAACACCTGTCCTAAAGAAACTGATTTCAGGACTATCTGGACAATGAGAACTCTAGTATTTCTCTTTCAAGCATACTTTTCCATCCAACTACCCTGAACTTCCAGGAGTTATATCCCTACTTCATGTTGTTTTGGGGGGCATTCAACCCAGTGCCCTTCTTATCCTAGAGATAAGTCCACAACCCAATCTGGCCCATCAACGTCTCTAACCATATGGCCACATTTTTTGTTTCAGGGATTATCAAATACTCAATACAAGGCCATCAGATCATTGTTTTCTGTTAAGCTACTTTGGGTTGAAATTCTATCAACTTGCATTCAAAAGAGTTCTAACAAATCTAGGGAGACATATACTTAAACAGGTGTTTTCATTAGAATAAGCCAAGTAAACATAAGAGAAACACAATAGGAAGTGATATATTAAAGACAGACTGTAGGCCAGGTGTGGTGGCTCATGCCTGCAATCCCAGCACTTTGGGAGGCTTGATGGGGGTGGATCATGAGGTCAAGAGATCCAGACCATCCTGACCAACATAGTGAAACCCATCTCCACTAAAAATACAGATACTAGCTGGGCCTGGCAGTGTGTGCTTGTAATCCCAGCTACTTGGGAGGTTGAGGCAGGAGAATCGCTTGAACTCAGGAAGTGGAGGTTGCAGTGAGCCTAGGTCGTGCCATAGCACTCCAGCCTGGGCAACAGAGCAAGATTCTATCTCAAAAAAAAATAAAGAAACCTTGGAAGGAAACAAAGGACAGATGGATACAGTTTTTTGAAGAAACTTTTACAAAATGTTCCTATCCAATGGATTCTAGTTTCCCTGTGAATGGGGAAGCCAGCACATCTGCTGCAAGTGGAGATGGCCTAAACTTGAGAAAAGTACAGAAGGTTTAAATACATTTGAGCAGCAGGGGTAAGAAAGTGGACTAAGGAAAAATGACTAAAGCTCCATTTGTATTGTTTTCTGTTAGTAAGCACAGGATAAGTATTTTTTGGATGACTGAGTGGATTATTTCCAGGTAGTGCTAAGGCTGAACATGCATTTATCATGGTGTCAATAGACTTGATTGTGAGATTTAATCCAATACTGATTGGTCATTTGTAGGAAGACATTTCTGGAAAAGGCAGAGATGAGATTTTGTTAGACAGGAAGGATTAAAGGGAATTGGATGAGGCATATTTCAAGTAGAGCTTTTTAAATATTGGCTATAGGATAGACCATGAAGTCTGCATTTAAGAGAGAGGAAAATAAGGCAAGAACATAGTAGATAGATAAGCAGAAAAATTAATGAACCAGTATGAAAATTTGACAAATTGAGGGCCTAAGCTGGAAGGGTAGGAGGATGAGGTCAAAGGGTAGAATGTCAGGCTGTATTATTACAGATGTAGAGGTGGTTTTGATGAGGCCAGGCACGGTAGCTCATGCCTGAAATCCCAGCACTTTAGGAGGCCAAGGCAGGTGGATCACTTGAGGTCAGGAATTCGAGACCAACCTGGCCTGCCTGGTAAAAACTTGTCTCAACTAATAAATAAATAAAGAGCTGGGTATTGTGGCACATGCCTTTAATCTCAGCTATCCAGGAGGCTGGGGCAGGAGAATTGCTTAAACCCAATAGGCAGAGGTTGCAGTGAGCCAAGAACATGCCACTGCTCACCAACCAGGGTGACTAAGCAAAACTTCACCTCCAAAAAAAGAGGTGTTTCTGATGATAACATAGATGTTTCTGATGCTAGCTTCTGGGTTTGGCAGTACTGGAATGGAGTTCAAGAACCCTAAGATGGAATGACAGAGGAATTAAGAGGCCAGGTTATTGGCAAGTCTAGTCACATGGACGTTTGGGTCCTCCATTGATTCTCCACCTCCGCAAGTTCTTTACCCTGGGCTTCATCCCAATTTTGTCATTCCTAACACCTTCATGGAATCTGAATTATTTCTGCAATCCTAAGTTTCAGACCCTGCAGGTCAGTGCCATAAGCATGAACAGGAAAACAGAAGGATGGTTGTATGAGGGAGCTGTAGTGGACATCTGTTGTTTTGTTTTGTTTTGACACCAAGCATTCACAAATTTTTCTGGAAAACCTACCTCAAGTGCCCTCTAGAAAACAAACCTCAGGCAAGGTGGCTCACAACTGTAATCCCAGCACTTTGTGAGGCCAAGGCAGGCAGATCACCTGAAGTCAAGAGTTCAAGACCAATCTGGTCAACATGGTGAAAACCTGTCTTTACTAAATATACAAAAATTAGCCAGATGTGCTGGCAGGCACCTGTAATCTCAGCTACTTGGGAGATTGAGTCAGGAAAATCGCTTGAACCCAGGAGGCTGGGGTTGCAGTTAGCTGAGATCATGCCATTGCACTCCAGTGTATGCAACAAGAGTGAAACTTGGTCTCAAAAAAAAAAAAAAGAAAGAAAGAAAACTCACCTCATTTGTTAGTCCCAGTCTATGTAAGTGGAGTTGCCTTCTCTTCAGAACCCTAATATTTTAACGGTGGGTATGTGCACACTCTTGGTCATAAGGAGCATTCTGTAATGCTCCATAGTGAGCCCCCAAATATCTGTAATGCTCATGCATAGTCCAGAACTCATCTCTGGATCATGAGCTGCAGGTGTTCTAGACAATATCAATTATATTCCACTAAGCCCATAAAGACCATAGGTGACACCTCCATCCTGATAGATGCACCATATACACTAAGGGAAGATCTTGTATGTTGCCATCAACATGACTGGAGAGAAGGCACAAAGATCATCTTCTCTAAAGAGAGGGAGGTCATGCTTGAAAACAGTCCTGCATATACTATTACAGTAATTGAAAAATAGAACCGTGTATATTTCTGGCAAAATGGCATCTCTAACCTCTGCAGTGCCCTGGTAAACTTCAAAGGGGTGGTGCCTAGATCCAGATTGAGAAAGGGTCCTGATATGGACATGATGTGGCACAAACCTTTTTCCACCAGCAGGGTCATCCTTTCCTATCTTCACTTTTTTCTTACTTTCTCATTCATTCTAAAGTACTTTTTTCTTTACTCTCAGCTTAATTTGACCCTATGAGGTAGGTGGTTGCCTGGTCAACATTGCTGCCACAGACAGATAAGGGATCGTTTTGCTCTGTAAAAATGTCATCAATCAGCCAGGCACGCTGGTTTGCAACTGTAATCCCAGCACTTTTGGAGGCCGAGGCAAGAGTATCATTTGAGATAAGCAGTTGGAGAGCAGCCTGGGCAACATGGTGAAACTCTGTCTCTACTAAGTATACAAAAATTAGCCAGGTGTGGAATTACAGGGCCATGCCTGTAATTCCAGCTACTTGGGAGGCTGAGGCAGGAGAATCACTTGTGCCTGGAAGGCGGAGGTTGCAGTGAGCTGAGATCACACTACTGCACTACAGTTTGGGTGACAGAGTGAGACCCTGTCTCAAAAAAAAAAAAGTCATCAATCCAGGCAGCCTGGAGAAATACCCAAGGAGGGGAACTACTTCCCAAACTGACTTTTTAGTAGAAAAGCCTCAACACTGAGGTTAAAATATGCTTCCCTAAATAATAAGCATGCCCTGTTCCTCAGATTCTTAAGCAGTACCCATGGTGTTCCTGACACGCTACCCCAACCAGCAATACCCTCGACACTCCACCAACTTACATGATCCTCTGGTCACTGATAACTTTTTTAAAATAGTGACTAAACTATTATTTCTGAAAAATATACTGGTCCTTAACCCTCTCTTCACAAACGGAAGGCCTGTCTTCCTCATTGCTCTAAATATGAAGCAGTGAATGGAGAGGAAGTTGCAGGCTGCCATACCGTATCAGTAAGTCTGAGAGCAAAGAGGCAGAAAAAAGCCCATCTCCTCAGACTTCATCAGGGAGAGAAGGGGCTTTTGGAGACACATGATACTCATTCCTCCACAAGAGTTCCAGGAGATTGGTCACCTTTTAGAAGTCAAAGAAAGCAGTCAGTAAGAGCTGAACTAACTCCTACCTTTCACTATACACAAGCTTGGGTTACCCAAAATCTATACCCCACAACACAATACACAGAAAAGACATCATTCTTATTAGAACATTTATTGGGGAGAACCAATAATCTCCACAGGGAGTGAATTATTTTGTGGGGGGGAATTTTCCTTCATGGAAATGCTTCGGAAGAATTTTCCGTGTAATTAATAATGACAAATCACTGAACACAGTGCTTTTAGCAGTGGTAGGGACGGCTGGAGGCACTGGGTCAACCTGACACTGGCAAGTGGGATTTGGTTGGGGCACAGGCGTCCTGTGGGGCATGGATTGGGGATGCCTTTGATACAATATCTTGCCCTTAAATGCCTCAACTTCCTGGGGCTGTCTGTTCTTGTCTATGATCTGCCTAATCTTTGTCGGATGATTCTGGCCAACTAAGATAGCTTGTTGGCTGCAAGATTCGCTAGATGTCACTTTGCAGGAGGGAGCCGTGTAGCTGCAGGGATAGCCCTGGACAGGCTCTGCTCTGACCTGCAGTTCTGGATCATGCTGAGCTTTCCCAAGCTCTACTGGGGAGGAAAGGGGCTCTTGGGGACAGGTGATATCTATCCCATCCCTATGCCCTAGCTTCTCCTTTAGGAACTTTACAATGTCAGTCTTAATTTTCTGAGCTTCAGCAGTTCCAGTAAAGGCAGCTCTACTCTTAACTCGACCTCTATTCTGTACAGATGATGACAGGGAGCTACCCTTTGCCTGGAAACTTTCTTGTTCCTCACATGTTATGCTTAGTTTCTTAAACCTCTGAAAAAAGGTCTTCAACCATTTTCTGAAAAGGTTTTCAGGAGGAGGCTGTGTTATCAAGGTTGGGGAAGATTTTCTCCCAAGCACCTCCCCTGATGTCTTCTTTTGAACAGGATAGCTCTTTCTCCTGGGTTGGGAAGTCCCCAACCCTACATTCCCTCCACCAAGCTCTCGTCCTTTGGGTCTCGGAGGGCTCACTCTCTTTGTAGCTGGTGGAAAATTCTTAACTTGGCAATTCTGTAAGACATGCTTAGAGACCAAGGGCTCCTGCTGCTGTTCCACACGGATCCCTCTGTCCTCCACGTGGACATTCAGCACCTGGGAAATTGCCATGTTCCCATTGGAGATGCCCTGGACATGAGTCAGTAAGCCCTTGGAAGTCAAGTTATCTAAGGCAAGGGGCATGTCAGCGAAATGGGTCTGAGCTGGGCTATGCTCCCCATGGGCCAACTTTAACTCACTCAGCATCTGATGTTTAAGCTTCTCTTCCTTGAACATTTCCTTAGACCCACTGGTGACAGGAAAGGTCTTTCTACTGCCCTGAAGCCTTTCCATGTTATTACTGAAACTCACTTTTTTATCCATTGACTCACTGCCAACCTCAGGTTGCATTATGGGCAGCTCTGGGTAGCTGCTACTCGCTAGTCCAGTCTGTTTCTGACTGACTTCGTCTATGATGCTGTGTGTGCGGGGCAGAAAACTCTGTCTGCCATCATTAGTTGTCTGGATACTTTCTGTAAGCTCATGATCAGGATCAGAGAATTCTCTTCTCAGGGTCCCATGCCTTTCCTTGTCATCAGGTGAGGGGATGAGGTGTGGATGATTCAGGATGGAAAATAAGCTGGTGGTTTCTATCTTTTCTGCGTGAAAATCTGTAGTGTTTCTTCCAAGGAGCTTGGAGTCCCCATCATTGGAATCCATCTCTGTAAGGTCATTCTCAGTATAAGAAAACTGTCTTCTCAGGGTCCCCTGTCTTTCTTTGCCCACAGATGAGGTGACAGGGTCAGGACGATCCAGGACAAGGACTGAGCTTGTTCCCAACTTTTCTCCTTGAAAAGTACTGCATCTAAGAGACTTGCAGGCCCCATCTTTGGAATCTCGCTGAGAAATGAATGTGGTTGAGGAGGGAAGGTCAAAATTGGAAAAGGAGCTGGAAAGGTCCTCTTTCGATTTACAGATTTCTATGGATTCAAGGACCTTGCTGGGAAGACCCCACAGCATCCTCATATGGAAATACTTAATATGGGCTTCCAACATCTTTTGTTTGTTGGAACCAAGGAAGGACATCTCCTGGGAAGTATCAACACAGTGGTCCTCGCCCACCAATGCCGCCAAATTTTGGTGGTTTAGTTGGCTATGGGATTTTTCAGGAAGAGACATTGTCTGCTTGATTGAATGCCATGAACTACACACATTCCCAGGCACTCGACCCTCATTGATTTCCTCAAATTTCTTGCTCAAATGTACTGTCAGGGCATTTGCAAGTTGTTTCTGACCTAGGCTCACCCCTAAATCATTCCCTGGCAGATGCATCATATGACCTTCTAGGTCGCTCTCAGAATTAGAACTCAGATCCTCTTCTGAAGATGTCTCTGGTTCATGCAACAGATGACCTTTTGGGCCATTCTCCTGGCTGTACCCCTGAAACTTCCCAACATTCTCCAGGGAAAGCATATTTGAGCTTCTCTTGTGGAAGCTTCTAGGTTTCCTTGATTTAAAATTCTTGAGATCATTGTGGCTCTGACCCTCAACCAAAGAGCTATGTAAGGGTCCCTCACTGTTTTCTGACTCAGATATCTCTAAAACAGGGCTCTGAGGACGTAGCAATGACAGAGACTCATGGACTCGGCGGGGCAGACCCCATCTGTGCTGGATGAGCCTCTTTAGAAGGTGGTGCTCCAGTTTCTTCCTAAGTTCAGTACTAAGTGGAAAATCTCCAGTACTGATGGAGATGGGATCACAAGCCTTAAAGGACTTGACCAATGCAAGACTAGGAACTGGAGAACAAAAGTCTTCCTGGGATTTTTTAACCACTGAGGGTAAACCCCACACACTTTCCTGATCTTTCTGCAACACATTCCACTCCAGATGGTTAATTTCAGATGGCGTAAGAGACTGTCCCTCATTCTGAGATTTATGAAAACACACTCCACAGATCCCAATCTGGAATAGAGGACTAGGTAGTTGGGCTGTGGGTAGAGATGGATGCTGAGCTAGGGACTGACCTTGCGGCAGGGTTTGAGGCAAGGGTAGAGGCTGGGTAATAGGCAAGGACAGAGGTTGGGGATGGGGCAGTACTGGGGGTTCCTGGAATGTAGACATACTTGCAATTTCATTGAAGAATACAAACATGGACGAACGGCCACGATGGAGAAGAACAGTAGGATTCAGAGACTCGCTGTGCAGAGATGGGAGACCCCAGAAGAGCCGAACATATTTTTGCTCTAAATGGTCCTCAAAGCACTTAGAATATGGGGGCTGCTGATGGATGTACAGCCCCTCTACTTTCCTATTACTGGCCGAAAACGGAAGGGAGGTTGTCAAGCCATGCTTATCAGAAGTTGAAGCTAACATTTTCCCTGAAGAATTTAGCTGGTAGTTTGGCCTAAGATGTTTTGGGAAAGTTCCTGGTTTCTCTCCATTTTCTTTACACATCAGGAAATCGCCCCTTTTTTTGACTTGTCTCTCCAGGAGTGCCACGATGTCATGGCTGACAAATGAGAGCTTAACAGGCACTATGAGGTTGACCACAGAGTACCCTCCTAAAGAGGTCTCAGAAGAATGAAGGCTAAGGAGCTCTTGCATGAAATCAGATGGTACAAAATTGGAAGAAAAAGAGTCCTTGGCATGAGGCTGCCACCAGGAGAATTCTGCAGATGCAGGGCATGAATGGTCAATGTCTCCAATTGTAGGGGCAGCGGTGGTTGACCCACCAGAGCCACCTACAGATAAAGTCTCTTTTTCCAGAGGCTTCAATATGATGAGACTTGATTTAGACTGAGACACAGTGCAATCTTGCATTCGTAAAGCAAAAGAGTTTGGTGGTTTGTAATGAAAAGTACATGAATCACAGGGATTCATGGCATGGGAAATATTTGGCAAAGAGTTCATATCTTGGGATAGAGTAGAGTCAAATAAAAAGATGGTGTTCAGAGACAAACTGGCCTCCGGTTGGAGATTGGGCTCTGCTCTCTGAATGTGATGTGGTGGGAGAAGGGGAAAGGGAAGCTGTTGCGGTGGGGAATGGTCTATAGGGAACTTGGAATCCAGGGGAGAAACAGGCTTTGGTGGCAGAGGGTCCCTCAGTGGTGAGGGTGAAAATAAGTCAGCTAAAGGGGTGATCAGGTCAGGTGAGAGAATTAAGGAGGGTGGTGGAGAAGGGTCAGGACAAGGGGACACTATTAGGTCTTCTGGAGGGGTTGCTGAGGCGGCAGAAGCCAGAGTGAACGATGACTCAGTCGCAGAAGCTGCAGAAGCCAAAGAGGACACAGAGGGAGCAGGTTCTTTCAGGGACTCCCAACACAGCAGTCGCCGGACCTCAGCAGTTGTTCTGTTACACACCATACAGAGGGGGTCTGGGCATAACAGTCGACGAAAGCGGGTGGTATCATGATGCTGGCCCAGGGGACTGCAGGAAGCAGGAGGTCTGAAGCTGCAGCCAGGACCAGAACAAGGAAAGGAGGGTCTGTTAGCCTGGCAGGGGTCAGAACCCTGGTGCCTGCTACCCGCTTCACATTGCCCCCTGCCTATGACCTCACCATGCACTCTAGGGCCTCTCAACACATTCATTCACATACACGTTCCTATGGCTACCCATTCCCACAACTACAGCAGGCTACAAGAAATACCTGAGGTGAATAGAATTTGCTAAAAAAAAGGACTGGGGTGGGAACAGGACAGAAGGGAACAATTAATCACCTTTTCAGAAAAGAAACCAGCTTCCTTTCCTCTTCTGCTTCTTTCTGGAAGGTTATCCAGTCTGGGAAACCATAACAATATGTTATATATAATGAAGGTAGAGGCACAGAGATCATACAGAAGTTGCTCTGTGGAAGATCTTTAGGATATACAACTCTGATAGCCCCAAGTATCAGTGGGAAAGGGCAAATAGTCATTCATACTATTAACAAGTTCACATGTGTATGTGGCAACATTTATAAAATTCCTTCACATACATTACCCCCTTGTGATGCTCAAAACCACCACCAGAAACACAGATGTCAGTGGTTACCTCCAAGAGGAATCTGAGCATCGAGGAAGTCAAAGTACTAATGCAAAGTTGTAAGACAGAAGCTCTGATTCAAGCCAGCCAGTAGTCATTCCTCGATATCTAACTTGCCCACCTATTGTGCAATACCCAGTGCCCAGGTCTATCACTCTGTCATGCCTATGAATGGGCAGAGCAGGGCCTATGAGCAATGTCTCGGGTCTGGTCGCTTTTCTGTAAGCCTCTCTGCTGAGTGCCCTGTCTTCTGAGACTGTATCTAGTAACTGACATTCTAAGAAATCATGGGCCTGAGTCCTCCTGACAGAAACAGGAAGGGTCACCCTTGAAGCTCAGATACAGCAGGCTGACCTTACCTTTAAATGTCCTACCTTTCTTTCTCCTCCTGGCTCTGCCCTGACGCTGAGAACAAAAGAAAGACAATGAGAGGCTGGGACTCATTTATCTCACTCTCTATGAAGCTCATTCATTCATTCATTCACACATTACACAGAATAATATGACTCCCTAATTAATGCTAATATGTTCCTGTTATCAATTATTATAGGTGAACAAATATTTCTAATTTTTCCTTCTCTGAAAAACTCAAAGAGAATTTTGTCAGAGAAAGCCACCCTTGATATGCTCAGTTAGCAGTCCTCAAGGAGGACACAGACTCAGAGGCCAACAGTCACATCTGTTCTCCCTCATAGGAAAAGTGTCCCAACGGAACTCTGCCTCCAGCCTCTGCTCAGAGACTCTCAGCATTGCTCCCCAGCTCAACCCAATATGAAGGAAGGCTTGGTTGAATGAAGGTGACAGGGGAATGTGACTCATGATCAAATTTCAGTAGAAATTGTTCTTCTTCAGAGAGACCACACTCTCTATGCAGTCCAGTCAGGGACCACAGAATTACTGTGTTTGGGATTTTATCTGGAACCCTCCGCCACAGCCAGATAGGCAGTCTGTGAGCTTCAGATGAAAACTTTAGTCCTCCTGAAGCCCTAAGTCTACCCAGCAACTTCCAAAGAAAAGTGAAATTCTGTCCTCTCTTCAGACTTCCCATCTAAGACCATCTCTCTGTACCAACCAAACTTACTTAGAAATGTGGAAATAGGATTGGGAAACAACAACAGGGAATCTCCCTTGGGTGTTCACCCACGGTTTCTTACCATTTGGATGTCATTATTTTTCCTTGGGGGTGACAAATACAGGGTCAATAGCACGTAGAACAAGTACAGCATAAACAACCCCAACCCACTCAAGCAGATGAAGTTGGGGTCAATATCCAAGCAATGTGCCAAGCCAGGGCTGAGCCCTGACTCAGTGTAACTGTTCAGAAAACAGAGGATATTCTCCATGATCTGAATAGCATGGCTGCCTGAAGCAACTGAGCCCTGAGTTTGCCCAGTCTTAACTATAAGCCCAGGCCTGCATCACAGAGCATGGAAGTCACAAAGGGTTTCTAAGGGTGGAGGGAGCAGTAAGAGGAGGGTGTGTCCACAGCCCTGACCCCACCAGCCCAGCCAACCCCACCCCTCCTGTGCCCTCCAGGTCCCTCTGCCCTACCCTCCCACTCCATTTCACAACTCCATCCTTTCTTCATGTCATATATTTACCCAAGTGGAATTTTCTGTTTGCTCCAACAGTAAACCAGGTATTACCCAAATCCTGCCTTACTGTTTGGAGCCCTTAACTTCAACCCCACCAACACCACAGCCTTGAAAGCCTGAAATACTGCCTGGAATTTCTGTCGTACCCAGGCATTGGTACTCTCAGGGTCACAAATGTCCTCCAATCCCTCTTACCTACAGAATGTTTTTGCCTTACATTAACCCAGATAGGAAACTTAATGTGCCTTTATACTGACTTTGTTTTGTGAGTGTCAAACAGTAAATTTTTTACTTTAAAGTCAGTCTTAACTATTTCCAATCAGAGGGACTGACTCAAGCGATTAAACTAATGTTATCAAAGAAAAGGAGCTCACTGCCCAATTTGGGTTTTTGAGAAATGCAGGTTTTTATGGTAAATTAATCACAACGAGACAGGAGTCCAGCTCAGATCTGTCCCATGTGCTGGCTTTCATGCAGTCATTTTGTTAGAAAAGGTTTAGGGAGTGGCCTCTGGGATTAGTAGGTAGCTGGTAGAAGAAAAGAGGAGGTCTGTAAAGTCCTCAGGCATGCACAGTTGTTTTTAATGCTACCTCATGGATCACATGTGCACATTTGTGGGGAGTTAGTTGAAAACGTGGCAGAAATTTGGGGCTGTGATGTCAGCCAGCTTATTCTGTGCAAACTTCAGTTGGCAATATCAACTTTAATCCATTTTAGCCAGTTTTTTAATCTCACAAGCAGGGAGAGTTTTGGCATTTTAGCAAGTTATTGTTGTTGTTGCTGTTGTTGTTTAATCTGCTATCCTGTAAACTGATGATCTGTGTCGGTCATTGGTTTCTTTAATTCTGGGGCATGGTTCCACTAATAATTCATTTTTAACATCTACAAAGTGAAAGTAAGTATACAATAAATGTATGTAACTAAACTTCAAAGGATCTTGGGGGTACATTATAGCACTTATTTTTCTGAGGTTAGTGAAGTTTAAACTTTTCAAGCACTTTTGGAACATACTCTATACACAAACACACATACACATTGACCTAAAAGGAAAAGCTGTGGCAAAATTATCATAAATAGAGCGTTCATCTGGGTCAAGCTTGAGGATTGCAACCTGGGAACACAGATGCAAGTCACCCTAAATATACACTCCAATTAGCAGCAGTTACAAGTGGGATTTTAAAGTCAAAAAATGGGACTAGAAGTGGGCTGATACAAAGTTGTTATCAGGAATTCTCATTGGTTTATGAAGAGATATTGATTAGTGTTTGGCTATACATTGTTAAGTTATAGGGTGTGGGTTATAGTGTCAGGTGTGGGGTTACTGGGTTAACGTGTAGCTACATGTGGCAATAGCAAGCAGTTTCAAGAGATGAATACACAGCTCAAGGAGAAATAGGGCCATGATTGCTGTCTCATTTTAATGTCTGTCTAGGCCTGGTAACTTAAAAGGACTCACATTCCTCAGATAAAAGTTCTTTTCTTTAAAAACATCCCTACACACCCATCCTGTGACACATCAAGCACTATTTTCAAATCCAGAATCGATTATTTCCTTCTTTTATTTCAATCTCATATTTGTCATTTTGACCCCACATTTTCTAACTCTACCTCAAATACAGAGTCCCAGCCCTCGACATCAATTTCTTTTTTTTCTTTTTTTTTTTTTATTATTTATTCTCTACATCAATTTCATAACAAGTAAGCAACTCCCTTAAACCAGGAATAGATTACAGTGCACTAAGCTATTGTGATCTAAGAGAGCAAAATAGATGCCCCTTTATCAACTAAGACAGACCTTAGGGCTAAGGAAACAATGTTCCCTATAGGTCAAGGGTTCAGAGCCTGGATGGCATGCAAATTTCTAACTTTCTATAACTAAAATCCCTTTAACCATACCAGCTCTCAGCTCTGATTGGATAGAGGACCAGCCTTACAAATATTGTTTTCTGATAAGCTATTAAAAGTACAGATTGCCAGTTTCTGCCAGCTTCTAAGAGGCTGCACACAAACCACCTTTGTGTCCCGTAGTTCACCTTTTGATGTACAGAGCCAAATTCTACCTCATTTTAATGCTAAAACCCCATTCCAAAGTGAACATGGGATGTATGTTACATATGTTCACTCATTATGGTGCGCTCAGCTCCCATATAAATATGTATACCTTTTTTCCCAAACTTGCTGAATATGTATGAATATGAATATAAATTGCAACCTGTCCTTCCCCTATTCCAACAGAGAGCAGTAGCTTCATTCCACACTGGATCCTTTCCCTTCCTGGGTTGCAAACTAAGAAAAGCAATGAGGCTCTCCTTTCTGCTATTAAGCCGTCCTGGTGGTCTTCTGGATGATACTACTGATCTCAGCAGTCTTTCCTAGCAAAGGGGGACCCAGGCATATCAAAGCCTTAGGGCAGAAAGTAGTCTTAAGCAACCTCACCTGATTACACTGTGGACCATGTAAATGTAATCTTTTCCTGAGTGCCTTGGCACCAAAAAAAAACCTTGAGAACATCTGCTTTATATTTTTTATAATCATCCCTACAAATGTCCAAATACCCACTACCTGTCATACTTTATTCGGGCTCCTCTTGTCAGGCTTCAATAATCCCAATATCCCCCACCCCTGACCCGTCTTCCTACACATTCTTTTCTAAACTCTTTATCATGACAGCTGTCCTCTGAACTGTCTCTTAATTTCTCATGTCTTTCTTAAACTATTGTTAGAGCAAAATAAATATGGCCTGAGAAGGACTCTTTACTTCTATATTTGAGTCCTGGCAGATGAACGGTAACCTAGTTTAATAGCCAGACAACTTGAAAACTCAAAAGTATGCACCTGTAACAACACCTGAGTTTTGGCCAATTCCAGCGGCCATACTTCAACAACTCATAGACTGCTGAATGTTCAAACTGCATACAAATAAGGTAAACGCTGAGTTGTAACCAATCTCACCCTTTCTGTATCTCGCTTCCAATTCCTGTACGTCACTTTACCCTTTTTGTCTATAAATTTGTTCTAAACATGAGGCACCCCTGTAGTGTCTGTGAATCTGCTATGATTCTGGGGGCTGCCCAAGTCACAAATCATTCATTGCTCAGTTACACTCTTTTAAATTTAATTCGGCTGAAGTTCCTTTTAACACTATAAAGCTCTTTATTTGACACCCATGAGCCACCACTGTTACTTGATCTCTTTGAAGGGGTAAGACAGCCTTCAAGCCAGGACAGGTCTCCTTTCAATTATGCAGGAGCAGGTAACCTGCCTTGAGGATAAAATCTGCCAAGACATGCCACTTCCTCATCTCTTTAATATGACGCCTCAGCCAAGTTTTCATCTAATAAATATTTACTGCTGCAAACTAGGAGACAGAATCATCTGTAAGGAATGGGCTCTGCCCTTGACCTCATGGTGTGGTTGGAGCAATTAGTTCTACATAGCTCAAGAGCTACACAAACATAAAAGAGAGGTTCCCCGGCACCCCCACCCCCACCGCACTTACAATTGCCAAGCGATCTCTGGAATAGATACTGTGGGTCATAACTCCTCAGACACATCATGCTCTTTAGCAAAAAAATACCTGCATGTGCACTCTCTCCAATTTCCTGATATGACTTAATGATTCTTTGAGGAGATGTTCAAAGAACAGCTTCTCTCTTTTAAAATGTCATTCATTGGCTAGATATCTTTACAAACACATGCGTACCTACAGTTAAAACCTTCAAGAAGTTTCAGTAAAAAGGTTTTCCCCCAAATGCTAATAAGATTCCCTTTCTGAGTATGGTTGAAGCTCCTTCAAAATTTAAAGAAACAAGAGACTAGAGATATATTTATTTTCTTGTTTGGACCACCAACAGTAAATTCCATTGACATTGAGTGGCAGTACTTCATAGCACTTATCCTCTGCACTAGCACCAACTATAAACAATAAATTTGCCCACTTTATAAAGAATTCTACTTCCAGCCATCTCGGTGCATTTTCACAACCTATGAGGTTAGCAGGTCAGGTACTGTGCCTATTCTTTTTCTTTTTCTATTTTTATTGCAACAGGCACTTAGATCTTCCTGTGAATATTGTGCCGACTTTATCAGTGAATGAAACCAAAGCCCAGAGAGGGTAGGAGACTTCTCTACATCAGACAGTAGTAAATATTAGAGCCCTAACGAATAAATTCCTTATATTCATGATGCTTCTACTTTACACAATATTAATATGTAATTTCTTAAAGTAAAAAGCATGCCCTAATATTAAAATTACTTGTATGGTTAAGAATATTCATTTTGTCCATTAAATGCTGGCAAATTTGAGAAGTAACAAAAAGCTATTTTTTGGTACTCTATCAGCTCTTAGATAACTTTTCCTTTCCACTCTTAGCATCAGTGTCTTAATAGTTTTTTTCTATCCCCCTCTTAAAATCTGCTTTCAAGTACTATATTGTATATGACTCCCAGTCATGTAATGTAAAAATTTAAAATGTCATCCCTCCCAGGAAAACATTTCACACATTCTACATACATCTAACTCCAAGCCTTGTAATAAGCTCTTACCAAAGCATTTTAGGCAGCCTTTGGGAGGTGGCAGAGGTGGCTTCTGGTAGGGTGAGACTGTCTCACCACAGGCCCCATGACATCTTCCCAATTTACCTACAACACCACCCAGAAGTCTGGTCTTAGATTTCACACTGCACTTGGTTTTATTATCTCCAGGAGGAATCTTTTTCAAATGCTCTTAGAGTAATATGCTACCATTT